GGCTTATGGCTTGTTAACTACTGCTCAAAAACCGGCATTGGGGCGTTTGGTCTATTCGTTCATCATCATGTTGCTAAAATGCCAAGACGTAGTCAAAAAGCTTTAGCTATTTTCAGGAAATTATTCACCCTTCCATTTCAAATACTATTATATTCTATTTTAGGAATGAAGATTAAAAATATATTTCAGTATTTTAAATAAATCAACTAAAACAGTGACATAGTCAGTTGCCCTGTGAAAAAATCCTGACAGAAACAACAGATATTGTTGAAGTAATACGTTTGACACCATTAATCATGAAATTCTGTGCTGCAAACTAATACACTATGGTATTAGAAGTCTTCCTCTATTATGGTTTAAAAACGACTCTTGAAAGTATTAGTAATTTTGGCTATTTTTAGTTGATCGGGGATACACCAGACATATTTATAATGTGACAAAGAGGTATTTTAATGAAAGAGGCAGCATCTCTTAGAAGACGGGAATAGTTATAGTCATGGCCACAAGATTTAAGCGGGTTTAATTATTTTAGATCAGATTATATTTCATGGATGGTAACTGGTTGGAGAAACAAAAAATTACAATTGGTAGTTGTGAAGTAATCCAATAGATCGGCAGATATATTATATTCATAGCAAGTTCCTCCCAAATATTAGCAAAGTATCTATTAAACTGGTTATTTTATTGGGCCATGAAAAGTAAGCAGTTTAGGGAGTCTACCACCATTCCCAGTGGCCCTTTCCTGTTAAATTATTTATCGTTTTCCAGAGTTTAGTAGGGTTGTTTTTATTCAGATTGATTAAATTGGAGTAATATTTTTTTAGATTTTCTAAGAATAGTTCTTATAATAGTTCTGTAGGTTTTGTAAGCAGACAGACGATTTGGATTGTAATTACTCATAATCACTTTCTCGTATAGTTTATTTTTGTGTCTGATTGATTTTGTAATGCCCCTCGTTATTCATGGCTTCTTGGGTAGTTTTGATCTTTTTTTTCATCTTGAACAACTTTGTCACAAATAGTGCTAAAATTAGACGAAAAAGTATTATACGCTTTATTTGACCATTATCAAACCACTTGATACTGTTTAATTTCAGATAAAAATTGTCAATATTATACCGGGAAAAGTCTCGAGTATAATATACAATTCTGCATTTGGTACATTTTGTTAATATTTTCAATGAATGTAAAAATGGTTTGTTAAATCTGTCAGAATATTGCCACAGTGCACAACATAATCATAGAAGTTTGAATATATGTGATCAATTATTGTTGATGAACTATTTGTTGAACGTATGGGTTTATTGAATAGTTGTTTGTAATTGATACTGGCCATAGAATTGATGTAATTCTGATTTACTGTAGCTGATTGATTATTATAATCAATATTATAAACACCAATTAGGATACACGTTGATTTAGTAACATTTATATTCATAAGGTAGTTTTCTAGGCCAGTACTGAAGTCATCCACATTTGTTCCTGGTTTCCTATATATAATGCCTAAGTTAAAGAACCAGAGTTCAAGTGTAGTTCTAGCCACAAGGTTTCAGAGTGGGGCATATTGCTATAGTTCAATACACGGTAATCAAGCGAATTGTGGATAAATGCTGCCACTCCTTCCCCAAGTGCACTGTACGACATTTCTTGATAAGTGTGTAATTTTGGATATTAAAATAAGACATGGTGACATGGAATTGTGATTATAATTGCTATGTTCACATGGCAACATTCTATCGGAGCCGAACTACTGCTCCTCCCACGGATTAACAGGGGATTATCTCCAATGCGTTCATACAGTCGGGAGCTGAACGAGAGCCGAGATCTGCCAGAGTTCGATTCAGTTGATGCTTGTCTTGATGCTGTTCAGCTAGGAGAAAAAAGAGACTGAGCATGGAGCTAAAAAGACAATGACTGGTACTAGTATTATGATTTAGGCACTAGTATTTCGAGCAAACAGGAAACACGGCAGCTAAAATGCGATTAATACAGCTTATTCGCTGAAGTTTTTGTCATGCAAAATTACCATTTTGTAACTGTAACCCGAGTGGTATTATTATATGTACTGCGCCCTCTATTGGTGCGTATGCTCATGAATAGCAATGAGGTTATTTGACCCTTGCCCCAACACCCGCCTGAACGAAAGTGATCCTGCCGCACATCGCGCGCTGCCAGAAATTCTTCTTTTGTGTTATATGTGAACTTTGTTGGTCCTTGGGTG